ATACATTGTGCGTCTAGCCGCTGGCGTTTCCATCTCCACATTTGTTCGTTGTGATTCCGGTCATTTACCAAACCGCCCAAGGTCACTCACGGCCAGCAATGGTTTTCCAGTTTTAGTTCATGTCAGCCGACTGAGTCTTTGAATTAGTCGGACCTCATGCCTATTGTTCCCTACAAGTTGCAAACGAAACTTATTAATATTATTTCATCGAATACTTCTCACTGATCATGACATTGTCCTCTTTTCGCGGAATCCCCAATACCCGCAACTCCCCCGGTTATGCCCCATTCTGGCTGTGACCGCGTGAGCATGCCAGACGGTATGCCACCCACAAGTTGGGAATATACATCATTATTATTATTATTATACCAGTTGTTGATATGTTTAGTAAGCAGTGTATGCTCAGCTTGTTTACTTATGTCACAGCTGGAGGTTTTGAACCTTGAAACACAGTTGGGGCCGGAAATCATTTATTCCGTTTGTCGTTGGCGACTCTACATACTGTGTAACGACAGACGAGACATCAGGTGTACGGTGCGTCTGTCATAGAATCTCCGGCTTGAATAACTGATATTTCTGTGTGTATAAAGTAACACCGTGACACGAAAGACCCATGAAGCGTAATAAGTGTTTCAGGCACATTTATGCTGCCGGGATTTTGTATATAATGTCAAACATATGTTGGTATAGGCGACCGCTGAGGCTATGAACGAAACCGGAAAACTACGGCCCCTTTTCTCACCTGCGTAAGCTGGTCTTCAACGCAAGACCTGGATGGCTTGGTTTCCGTGACGCTTGCGTTGTCGGGAAACATGAAACCATTCGTAGGAAAACACAATTTTATTATGATTGATTAAAGAATCACCAAAAACGTGTTCCACAGTTGTACCTGGAAAGCAAATGGGAAAAGAATTAGTAGAACAGGGTACGATGTTGTGCTTTGGGCCGACTCCACACTTTTGCTGCGGTTGCGATGAAATCTACTCTGGGCCTATGGCGTCAGCCGGCCCAAGCACTCTAAATGTGACGGCACCGTCGCACCCTCCGGCAGGGCACACATAACTGGAGTGCTTACTAGCTTCCTGTACTTGAATTTTCAATTGCACATTCCTCTTACTAATAGCCTGAACACGGGTGGGCAACGAGGAAGATTCAGCAGGCTTCCACTTAATATGCCTATTAGCAGATGCGACCCAGTTAGTGGTTTCATTACCACGGGTCGCAGCATGCTTTGCCCAGGCATTCAGGTCGCTTAACCAATGCTCGCTGAGATATGACCAGTACTCTTGTTTCCTGCTTCTAGTGCTGGTGGCATAGACTCGGAACTCGCTCACTTCCCTACAGTGCAACATTCGCTTAGACCAGGTAAAAAAATTTCCTCACCCGAATGAGTCACATCCCTAAGCTTTGTAATACAAAGCTGTAAAACACAAAATTACAGCGGCGCCAGGCATCGATGTCCTCAAGCTACACAACCGCTTGGAGGGAAGCCAATGTCACGCCAATCAACAAAACCGGTGACCGATTGTCGCCTGGCAGCTACAGGCCTATAAGCCTCACTAGCGTGCCATGCAAGGTGATGGAACGCATTCTGAAGCGAGCTATCCTAGATCACCTTACTCCAAGCAACCCGATATCTCCAGCTCAACACGGATTTCTCCCACACCGCTCTTGCGTGACAAACATGCTCGTGTTTATGGACAGCTTAACCCAAGCCAAGGACGAAGGACTCATATCGGATGCCATATTTTTCGACTTCTCAAAAGCATTTGATAGGGTCCCCCACGTCCCGCTGCTCCACAAACTCGAGTCTTACGGGATTCAAGGGAAAATCCTTCGCTGGATCAAGGCGTTCCTATCAGACAGATCATTCCGAGTGAGAATAGGCTCGGCCTACTCCTCTCCAGCGCCGATCTCCATTGGAGTTCCTCAAGGCTCCGTCTTGGGACCACTCCTGTTTCTGATCTACGTCAACGACCTCCCGGACGTTCTTGCGAGTCCATGTCTACTCTTTGCGGACGACTTGAAATCCTGGAGTTCCAATGCGAGTGCACTTCGAATGGATGTAGACGCTGCCAAACAGCGGTCGTTGGACCGGCACTTTCCTCCGAATGACGGAAAGTGCGTCCATATGTCGTTTGGAGGGGATTCAGCGAATGCCTTTGTTATGCATGGTGAAAAGGGACCAGAAAACATCATGAGGATAGATGCCAAAAAAGATTTGGGCATCTCATTCGCCATTTTACGGATGATCCGACGCACCTCCTCCCGTATTACTTGCATGGACTTCCAAATACTCTATGGTGCCTACGTCAGACCGCTCCTGGAGTACGCTGTAGTATACGGTGTCTGTCATATTGATTGATTCGTATGTAAGTATTGGTGATGTACAACCTTGCTTACTGGGCTCTGGCTCATGAGCTTTGTTTCTGTTTTCCATCCACAGAAATTGTCGTGAACACCTGCCTTCGGAGAATCAGTCTCTTGGTGCTTCCATAGCGTGCATATTACATACGCCAACCAAGTTGTCTACTCAGGACGCGCGAAAGACCTCACCCTCATTGAGCGTGTCCAGCGGGCCGCTACGAGAATGGTTGCCGGCATCAACTCCATGGACGACACGTCTCGCGATGCTTGATCTCCTTCCCCTGGAGTTCCGTCGCCCCCGGGGGACCTAATTTTCAATTACGCCCTGCTTGAACAAAGCTTGGCACACTGGTTTTTCACTGTTGAACCAGCAAACACCCGGCGGGGACATAGTAAGAAAATTTTCAAGCTCAGAGCACACACATTCATTAGACAAAATGTTTTCTCACTTCGGGTTCTAGGTGCGTGGAATGACCTTCCTCCGACGGTTGTACACGCTCCTTCTCGAACCCAATTTAAAGCACTATTAGACATTTATTTATGCGAATCCTCGCGCTGGCAAGCATACTGCCCCCGCGCTGAGAACAAAAAGAGCAGTGCTACACCCTTTTTTCACTTGTGCCTTTCAGGTGAACGACAGCCACTGACCGACAAGAACAAAACCGATCCGGGAAACTTGGGCAAAAGCCTCGATCCCGTGTATCGATCCGTGAATCCCTGGCCCTGATACACCAGCTGCCCGGTCCATACCGCAAGTTGCCAAATCTGAAGAAAATGGCGAACCTAATATTTAAAGTGAATAAATTAGAGGAAAATAGACTGTCAGTGCAAGCGAGAAGCATCTATCAAGTGGCTAAGCAGTCGTATATCCAGGTACGGTTCACGTGACTCGGTCCAGCCAATCATTTGCTTGAGTTTGACTTGTGCGTGAATCGGCTGCCCAGTGTGACGGAACTGGGGAAGAACCGGGGCGTTCGGGTGCGTCAGTGCTGCGCTTAGAAGGAACATGACTCTTCAGTATGATGCCTGTGATAGATGACGACATCCATCCCGCACAGCCTAGAACTAAAACGCAACGTTCCGATGGAGAGACATTCATGTAACGTGTTATTCTGCACGACGGCACCGGGATAGCAAGTCAAAGTGCGCGCGCCCGGATGTCTACGTCTCAGCGTGCTGTGCCACCTAGAAGGTGATAGTTGATTGAACCTTTTAGGTCATTAGTCAAAATGCCCTTCCTTTCAAACCGGACTTGTTTGTATTCGTTGTTTTGTGAAAACTTCTCACCCCTTGGTGAGTACACTCACCGTACAAGGTTTGACCGAAAAGTTCGCCGTTGACCCACCTAATACACGGTGGGAACATGGTAAGAGGATTTTCAGGCTCAGAATAGACTATTATTAGGCAACAATTTCTCGCTTCGGGCGGTTGATGTATCAGAATCATATATTTGGAGCAAAAGAAAAATTCTGTGTGCACTCCATCGAGAAAAAATGCGAATATCATTCCACGTACGCCGTTGTTCCGCTAGTGGAATAGCTGACTTTCGGGACCAGAGCGGAGGAGATATCCTCACAGAAGCATAGATCAGATAAATGTTCATCCAAATTACGTTTGAAAATTTGAACTGTTACTGACTGAACGACATTTGCCGGTAAACGATTCCAAAATGACACAACGCGGCGAGAGAAACTGTACCCATGAGGCACATTGTCCATGCGTGTGACAGTAAGTTTAAATCGATGTCCTCGTAACGCAAAATAGTATTGGTGCTTTGATTACTGAATGAACGCACAAATATCACAAAGTTATCCTTCATGTATTCATTTAAAGTCTTCTCAAATGCCGTGAAGGAGGAAAACGATACACCCACAAATTTCTCAACGAAAGCCACTTCCGAAGCCATAGCAGACGAAGTCCAAAGCCGAATGTGCGCCAATACCGAATGTGCGCCAATA